GTACAAAACAAAAAGATGCAAAACAAAAACAAGGCAGGAAAATCCAAGTGTAGCTTATGTGACCTGAAATTACACAAAAAGGGTCATGGTCATAGTGGCGGGACAGAGACCAAAAAAAAAAAAAAACCTCACAACAAGCAGGCGGGAAGGGAAGCATTCCAACCAGATTATACCTACCAGTACAACAGCATGCTGCGTTAGGGGAACGTTAGAGGAGCGTTAGAGACATAAGGATAACAGGGTGCAAGCCACAGGAACAATCCCTTCCTGATTTCCACAGCAAAAACAAAACCAGATCTAGGCACTGCCCCTGATGCCTGCACCCACTCAGGGACGAGTGAGGCTCACACCTCAGGTATGACCAAAAGGGGCATCAAGCCATCATCTGAAGGGACCAAGGGGAATGGGAGGCAGCACACTGTGGCAGTGTGAGCGCTGATTGCCCGGGGCAAGTTAAAAAAAAAATAGGGCAACCAAAAACTGGTTGTGAAAGCAAAATGTGAGAGGGTTAGGTAGCAACAAAAAGGACATCAATGCAGGCTCCATTAAACAGTCTCAAGGGACAAAACTGACATTCAGCAGCTCTGCTCGAATGTCTCAGGCCTTCAGCTACTGCCCTCTGAGCTCATCAGGGCAAGTAGCTACCCTCCCATTTTAGCTACAGAGCCCTTAAATGTACCTCTTGCCCAGTGTGACACCAGCCAGCTTGATCAGGTCCCTCATGCAAGGGGTGACGATGATGGGCTGTTCATCAGAGTCCCCAGCTTCATCATAGCTCTCCACCTGCTCCACAACAAACTGGGCGTGCCGCAGGAGTGTGTCCTCTGTGAAGCGGTTGAAGTTCAGCCCTGCAGGGGGCACTGTGGTCTGCAGCAGAAAGTGGACATGGGTGGTCAGATGACTTGTGCGTTTAAAGCAGCAGGGGCCTCACATCTTTGGCTGATTTTACCTCAATCTTGTTGAGCAGATCCTCATAGGTGACTTCTGGGTTCTTCTGCAGGAATTCCACCACAATCTTGCTCATGTAGATCTTCTCCTGCATGAGGGCAAAGATGGGCCCGTACTCCTCGCTGGGCTCCATTAGAATATAGTCCGCAAAAGCTGAAAATCAAAGTTGGAGAATGACTCTGAACTGAAGGTATAAATTGAAAAGTTTCAGAAAGTGGCAAAAAATGGCTACCTGTAGTGAAGCCAATGAGCGCTCTCTCGCCTCCATCAAAGCCTGTGATCCACCAGGCATTGATAGGGCCCAGCTTCTTGGCAGGAACCCCGCCTGACACAAGACAAACACTTCAGAATCCTTTATACTCGCCCGGTCAGATGGCAACACAAAAGCACTCAGTTGCAGTATTAGCATTCATTAGAATAATAATATACATAAACCAAAGAAATAAGATGTTTCTGTTCATTTACGGACTGCAGACGTGAACATTATAGTGGCGAGGATGCAAAGAAATGCACCATAACTAAGCACAATGGAATTTGACCGTACCATCCATGCACGGATTGTCATCATAGATGGGCTTCACAGCACAGCTGAAGTACAGCTCCACATTTTTCTCGATCAGTCCGGAGTCAAAAGGACACAGGTGCCCACGCTTGTCATAAACACTGGGGAGGAGGAAGCCTGTGTCATTGTGCTGCTTAAAACCATGGTTGCATAAGCTGAAGTCCTTTAAAAATAATTAAAAAAAAAAAAAACTCCGAAAGCTACTCAAATTTCCACTCAATATTGACATTTACAAAGCTTTTAGACACCAGAAGAGAATTCCAAGGCCGGACAGCTTGAGTTACTGTACTGATCTCCATTTTGTGCTAAATAAATTGCACCCCACCTGAAATTGGTGATCTTGTGCTGGGGTAGATCTTCGTAACTCTCAAAGCCGTCTTCGTTGGAATCAAATAGCGACAACCGTTCATCTGTCAGCATCTCTGGCTCATCCAGCTGTGAGAAAGCCAGCAAGATTTTAAAAATAGAAAACATTCACAGAGCAGCAATGTCACAAGAGAACAGAAACATCGCCTCACCGCATCATCAGGGTCGCCTTGAAAAAACTTCAGGTCGGAGTCATCCAGGTATTGCCTGCAGTCAGGACATTTAGGGGGTGGAGTCTGAAACAGAAATAGAGTTATGCTGCATTCCATTTGAACTCGGAAATTTCAACTGGAACACCCTCTCAAGTCGGAATTCCGACTCACGAACTCCCCAGAATTCAAGATGGCTGTGCCCTTTACCAACAGAAGTTAAAAATATAGTTTAACACTATTTACTTTCACTTACGTCTTATTTGTGGCCCATAAAAAAAAAAGCGGTCATACACACGGTACCATCCAACTGCTATCTGTTGACGTGTTGTTACGGTGTTATGTTCAAAATACAGCATAATAGCAGCACTAACAATAAAGCAGGCTAGAACTGGGGTTCATTTTGTTAAGCAGTATTTCTTGCTTAACTGGACAGCTTTTCGGACTTAAGGTAGTCTGAGCTAAATGAAAGTGAACAAAGATAAAGGCCATTTCAACTGTGGTAAATGAAATCCGACAAGTTATCCTGGTAAGCAAGAAATCTTGCTTTTTGAATTGCGTCCCTGGTATTGCTAAATGGTCATCCCACTTGCTGCACTGAAACGCTGTTAACTTGTGTGATGTCATTCCCAGTTTTGAGTTCAGCCTCCGAGGTAAATGAAACGCAGCATTAGTGACAGCCATATAATCACAACTCTAAGACCAGTCCCAAACCATCCACTTAGCTGAAATAAGCCAGAAGCCACCGTCTTCAGTAATTAATGGACGTGGCGAAGGAGGAAGGGCCTTACCTTCATTGCAGCTACAGGCTTTGCCTTCACAGCTGGGGCATCATCTGCAGTCATGCTGGGGAAATAGATGGTAGAGATCAGCATAATTCACTTCCACATATCCATCCATCTAAACATAAAAGGCACGATTCCTTACTTTCCATCTGATCCAACCTTTGGCCTCTTCTCATCCTGTGCCTTTTGTCGGGGGGGGGGGGAAAAAATGTAAGACCTATATACACATTAAAAAAATGAAAGCACATCTTGTTCACAAAAACCGACCCTCACCTCCTCCTCTATGTCCGCCTCTTCGCTCTTCTCAGATACTTCTCCATTAGCTCCGTCTCCATTTACTTCTTCAGACTTCCTCTTGTTGGAGCTGTTGGGGAAAGAGCTGCTTCAAATGTGTACAACGCACAAAGTACAAGCGCTGGCATGATACAAGTAAATACTTACACTTTTGAAAACATGGATATAATGGTGCATTGTTTGCTGGAATTTCTTGTCACTCTGGAACTGACAGGAGATTCTGCAAGAGAGGTAAGGTAAGAAAATCCAAATTAACAGTCCCAATAAGCACATACAAACGTCAAAGGCAATACAAAAGCATAATGCTAATATCTCCAAAAAAATTACATTGAACCAGGCTACAAGCTGAAGTAAAGAACGTGTGCTAGTGAGACACCTAGGAACAGGGCTTCTATAGGATTTAAGTCAAATTTAACTAAACACCTTAAGACCTATCCAAAGAATTGTTTTTTTTTTTAGTTATTAATTACAATAAGTCCACTGTGGATGAGAGCACATACATCAGGCTGCATATCTGGCCATGTGTGGCTACCCTGCAATGCCATTTCTCTCATGAAAGCCCAAATCTCATTCACTCACAGAATTACCAATTTCAAATAAGGAAAAATCTTCCAAATAGCAGCCACCAGACTTCTGCAAGGAGCAACTAATGTGAACACACACACCTTTCTAGTAACTTTTTTTTTTTTAAGTGGTGGGCAGAGATTTTGTCCCCCCCCCCCCCCAAGTCTGTCTGGAAACACAGAAAAGTGGGGGAGATTGTGGCAAATTAACATTCGGATATTTTATTATTTAAGCATCCATACAGACCCTGTGTACATTCCATGGCAGAATGGAGCCACCGAAGGACAGTACGCACAACAAATATAGCAGGTTACAAAGATCAGCCATAGTCCCTCTGACTGGTCTTCACAATGTCTCTTCAATAACCCAACTGGAAATCATACCATTCTGGTGCCTGACTAGAGACAGCAGGACATTACAATGCACCAAGCTGCGCCAGACTTACTCTTGGGCTCCCCGTCAGCCTTGCTCCGGCGACCGCCACGGGCTTTCGTGGCACTGGGGGATTTAAGAGACACGCCCCCCTCCTCTGCATCCATAGGAGTCTCCTCCGCGTTGTCATCCACATGCGAACCGTTCTCCACAAAGCCGTTGGCACGACCATTTGCCTTATCCTTGTCGCTGTGGGATCCATTCTCCAAGCTAAGCTCCTGACCCAGTAGTAACTTCACTTTGGACAGATAACCATCCTGCATGCACATTTCAGGTATCAACAGGAAAATTAATAGCAAACATTTCTGGGGTGCATTAGAAACCCAACTGCCTATGAAAGCAGGACACACCCACTAGCAAGACACCAATAAAAAACAGCAAAAACACCAAGGTAACATATGAACCAACCAATCAATCAATAACAATATAAACTTATGCCAAGGGGTTTCACAATAATGCAAACTAGGCCACTGCTGAATAGATTGTACATATTCGCAGCCAGATCATCTCCAACCACTATCTCACCAATGACAATTCCTCGTTCTTCATCTTTGCTTCCAGGCTCCTGAGCTGATCCTGGGTTTCAGCACAGAGGAAGTCCTGGACCAGACTAAGCTTCTCCCTCAGTTTTTGCTGTGGAACAGACAGGACAAATAACCGCTGGTAAAAAAAAAACAAATAAAGCAATACTCTCCCTACCATTACTATTCAAAATACTCCTGCAGATCAAGGATAAGTGAGCAGAGAAGGGAGGGTATAACCAAACCAGGTTCTCCACACTTTAGAAATACATTGTAACATTGTGTAAAGCGCTTACTTCATCAGAGAGCGAATCGTCATCCTTATCCAGTACCTGAAGCCTGCGAACAAATCAGACAATTAGCCGAACACTGCAACCCTCCAGGGGCAACTTAATCATACTAACAGGACAATGGTCATGTGACTGACTTACGACTACGAGGAAGGTATTCGGAGAAATTCGAGACAATCCGGAAAATTGGGACGTTAAGTTTTGGAGAGGAGATTTTTTTTTTTTGTAAAAAAAAAAGGCGGCAGAAGACCCTAAACAAACGATAATGCACACAGCAAGCTGATGTTTTAAGTGGCGGGTTTACTACTAAACGACAAACACTTTCGGTGCACTGTAACAATCATCATACTAGCGAATACTGGATGCTAACGAAGTCGCAATGCATGTACTACAAACCTATACTATGTAGAATGCAAGAATCAGGCATCACAACCACATTTAACGGACAGTGTGAAAGCAAAGGGTTAAAATTACACATCAGTCACTATTGAATAGCGTCCGTGCATGCATGTGTGTGTCTAACAGGGTAACACAGTCGGAACAAAATTTGATTAAGCCGCGCCATCATGACAACTGGCCGACCGTAAACAGCGGTAAACGGCCGCTAGCTAGCCAGTCGGTCGACAAAACCGTCGGCCGTTCCGCGCACCAAGCCCGGTTGTACCTTTAATTTTCACGTTAGTCACACGACAAAAACACGCCGTTTGGCGCCAAATCCATCTAGCTAGCTAGTCGGCTAGATACCGGAGCGCAGCGCGACCAGCCAAATACAAAGAAATCCCCATGTCGTTTCCAAACTAGTGTTGGTCAGTACGCGTCAAGCCATAAAAAGTCCCTCACACATTTACTTTAACGATCTCGACAGTGGTGCGTGGAGGTGACGTTCGCAGCGTGTAACTGTGAATGGGTATGAATACTGCTAGCTAGCGCTGAACCGAAGCTAATCGCGACCACGGGAACGTACCGCTTCCTGACGTCCTCTGGCAGAGACAAGGAGGTCTTGGTTGGCATTTCAAGTTTAAATTTGACTGAGAAAAATGACAAGTGTCTGTGCAGACTAAAACAGGAAAAGAAAAAATAACAGTTAAAACTATGCGTTAGTCTATAAAAGATCACTCCAGGAAGGAGCTCAGTGGGATAAAGGCTGCGGCTTCTTATGGATTCTATATGCTGCTACAGCGCGCGGGCCGTGTTTTCGCGCGGAAACCCGGGTACATCGGACTTTACCACCGACCTAACATAAAGGTAAACCCAGTGTCAAAAACATTAGATTGTCCCACCTTCCCTACTATTTTTATTTAAAAAAATTACACCGAGCCCATGTGAAATCTACCTTTTATTTTGTAAACCGTATTGTACAATCACAGAGGATTTTCTTATTTTGTTTCCCGAATGGATACTTTTACATGATCACCCCTTTCATGTTAATATGGATTCACCGAGGCAACCTATGTTGGGCTTTACCAAGTTGAAACTTAATGGGGGAGTACTGATTTATTAAATACTACCGTTGTATTATACCAAACACTGCGGACAAACATATGAAATTAAGTTTATTTTATATTGCAGCTTACTCAACATATGTGTCCATATTGCTTGATAAAATATCACAATAATAGGCTCGTAAATGGGCATAAATTCAGGACATATAAGGTAAAAATTCTAAGGACAAAATGAACAAAATGTTTTTACATTTGTGACCTAAAATCCTTTCACTTTTCGATATAACCTGAACCCATTTTTATAAAACCCTAACCCGATTGTGGTCCTGGAAATATGCATCATGTGGGGGTCGTGGTTTGTTTATCTTTTTGTCACAACGTCTTTTGTCCTCACTACATCTTATAATTAAAACTGCAGAAGAACACTACAAGGTATCGACACGTGATGCAGATTGAGGTGTCGTGAAAGCATATCTTTAAAAACGATACTGTCATGTTATTTTAGATCCTACCTCTGTCTTTGAGAATGTATCTTTCCGGGTTTAGGCGGTTATCCCTACACTGCGCTCGTGCAGAATGTGGCGCGAAAGTTGAACTCGAAGTACAGTGGCTCGAGCCCTCCAACGACCGTTGTGTTCAAGTCTTTGTCGCGTTGTGCTTTCTATTTTAATTATACCATATCTGTTTATTGGCCATCTGGAGTATTCATGAAGTTAGAACCCATCATATTTAATATCCAATATCTACTAAATAGACGAAAAGATCCAGTACAATGGCAAAGGTACTGGAATGTAACGCAAAAAAATTACACTTCTTTTGAAAAAAGATTACACAGTTGTACCTTTGAGAGAATGTGTCTGTGAATTATATGAGTAAGTAATATCATATTGAATGTGTTTGTTTCACAACAAAAAAAAAAAATAGATTTTAAAATTCATGTCTTTGGCACGAGAGCAACGAAATAATGTATGTATAAGAATGTCTTAATAAAATATTTGTCGCCATTCTTAATTCAGGATTCAAGATGATTCCTACACAAATGGGTTGGTGGTACAGTATATGAATTCGGTCCAGCACACTGCACAGATAAGGAGAGCAAGCCAAAAGATAACACTACACCCTCGGCAGAACGTCGATCTCGGGTGCGAAAGTAAGTTCGTAAATATGCTGGCTTTACATGGTTCTCTGTGTCATTTGGGAGAGTTTAGAAGCTTCATGTGTTTCGATATTGCTTAAGATGAAACGCTTTTTTGGAGGTTGGAGGTGAACATAATTTTCCAATGCGCCAGACAACTCACCTGTGGTTTGGTTCTGCACTTTTCCCAGGTTGTATGGAATCAGGCAGATATGAAAAGTCCAATAAGGGTCACCAGCAGGTAGGTGATATGTGTGATCTGGGTTTCGAGCCGTGTTTTAAAATGTTGTTATTTTCCTAACAGGACATAGAGGGGTTCGACAATGAAACTGAAACACCTCCATGGTTTTAGGTCACAATAATTTGTTAGTATGGTGTAGGGACTCACATCATCAATTTGTCTTGGGAATGACAGAAAGAAGATCTGCTCTGTGGCCAGAGGGATTCTGAGGCATTCATCTTGCAGAAAAGTGGCCAGGTCACTTTGACGTTGGTGGAGGAACATTTCCTGACTTATTCCTCCAAAACGCCCCAAAGTGGCTCAGTAATATCCAGATCTGGTGACTGTGCAGTGACGTGCCCATCTACAACAAGTAGTGGGCCTACGTAATGCCATGATATTGCAGCCCAAACCATCACTGATTCACCCCTGTGTTGCACTCTGGGTATGCGCAGTCTGGATTGTAAGCCTCTTTGGGGCTTTTCCACACTCCACAGTCTCCCAGATGTGGGTAAGGTAGACTCATAATAGTAAAATCCACGTTTCACAATGTCCACAGCCCAAGATTTGTGTGGCTGGCACCATTGACACTGACGTTTGGCATGAATGCATGCATGAATGACCAAAGGTTTGGCTATAGCAACTGGACCATGAATATTGATCGTGTGGAGCTTGTGACGAACAGTTTTGGTGGAAACAGGAGAGCTGAGGTGTGCATTTAATTCTGCAGTAGGTTGGGCAGCTGTGGTTTTATGTTTTTTGGATACAATCCAGGTTAGTGCCTGGACATCCCTTTCAGACAGCTTCCTCTTTCATCCACAGTTACTCCTCTTGAGTGTGGTCCATCCTTCATGGTAGTATGGCGACATTACCCCGGATTCTGTGGCTTTTGATACTCCCCGAAGACTTGCTGTCTTGGTCACAGACACGCCAACAAGACGCACACCAACACCAATGATCCAATGAACATAAGTCTCCCATTATGTCATTTGGATTGCAATATTTTATGAACAGCTGTGCTATTGCTCTGCTAATTCAACCTTCACACTCTGCTTTTACTGATGGAATGTGCAGTCAGTGAAGATTGGCCACCAGGCTGTGGCTATATCACAGTGAAACCTCAAATCCTGTATTGGCCAGTGTTTCAGTTTTATTGTCCAACCCCTGCATGTAAGCGTGCCTCATCAGTGAAGCCAGTCCCTGTTCATTTTCCCCACCTTGTGCCTTGTACTTTTGGGGTATGACCCAGTGTTTTGGCTATTGAAGATAGATGTATAAACCAAGAATTCATGATGCGTCACGAATCATTAATGATGAACAAACATGAGATCAGTATTTCACTTGTGTTATTCATTACTTGCTCCTTCAGTAGCTCACAAAGGTTTACAGAATTAACAGATATAGTTACAAATATGGTAACTGCTAGAGATAAAACGTGTCCTGATTGATTGATGATGAATTAACATGAGATCAGTATATAACTTAGACTTAGTTTATAGTTAATTAATACATAAGCAATAATATAATACTATATTATTTGTACCCCTTCAACTAATGTGAAACCAAAGTGCAGGTAATACATCTAGTGACTTTAATAGTTTCCTCTTGGCCATTCTTCCTGTTATATCATCAGACATAAAGTGCTGTTTCTTGCCTGGTTTCTTCCCTCTCTGTTTGTTAGTGCAGTTTATTTGCAAACTAACATTGGGTCTTGCATGCGCATCCTATGAGCTAATGTCAAAAAGAGACTCAATTGGTGTGTGTGTAGAGCAGATTTGTAGGCTGCACGTTTTATGCAGACTCACTCTGGCGTCTGCAGAATGTATTTATTACATTTACTCAATGTTCAAAGACAATGGAGTGTGTGACATCTCCAGAGGAGAGCTGACCTGCAAAAAAAGGAGTAGGATGACAATACAGTGGGGACACAGAAGCTTACTGCTCAGCTTCTGTATTGGTTCAAAAACACTCACATCTCAGTCAATGACTGTGTTAGACAGTTTTCTGTGTCTTCTTAACAACTCATCTGAAATGCGTTTTTATGAAGTTGCTTGTTCAGAAATCCATTCAATCTAGCTGACTTGGTAAACACAAAATAGTTGTTGGGTCTTACCAAAAGCAAATGCCTTTATTAGTATGAAATGGATTTGTGTGTTAGCAAAGATGGCGTTTTTCAAAAATTTGGTCCAAGAGAAGACTTGAGCTTACCAAGGAACTTTTTGTAATAGGGACCCGCTGTATGAATCCTTGAATAAATTTAGCATAGTAATCGACTTCGTGACTCCTACAGGCCTTTTGAGGCATCTGAAGTTCATTGGTTGATCTGTAGGTGGCAGCATTTTACCTTCAAGCGCCTCATGACAAGGTGTGGACGATAAAGTGAATTGATGAGGGTGTGAACCAGAGAAGGTGGAGCCTCCACTGTTGTTAACTACATTACATTTGGAAAACCTTTATCAGCAGGTCTATACACCTGTTTTTAGGTCACACGTTAAGACCAGCCTTATTTTGGGTTATATGCCTCTTTTGTTCGCCTTGTTGGGTTCTGGAATACATCATAGCATTGTGGTGAAGGACAGGGATGGTGACTGGGAGGTTGCTTATTCAGGTTCCAACAAGTGACATTGTATTGTACCCCGATGGGTGTATCTTCTGAAATGGTATGGTATAAGTAGATAAAATGTAAGGAGCTCTTGGTAGAAGCCTCACTCATACATCTTAGTAATTTAAAGATGCATGATTTTAAGGAGTTTCAATTTCTTTTTGCATATTTATTATATGCAGATCTTTCTAAAAACCATTGGATGCTAGCTGAAAAAAGACACGAACAGCGTTTCTTTTGAAAGTACTGATCTTCCGTAGGGATGCAGATGGTTTTTTTGGCCTTCAGTAAACAGTCTGTTGCCAGGTACCGCTCTGGCAGGAAGGTTTGTGTCTGCCACTGAGAGACCACCATCCCACCTTATTTCTCTTCACTTTCTTTATCTCACAGGTATCACCCTCTTTATCTTGCAGACATGGGGGGAGGAGGTGGGAGATGACTTAGGGAAAATGATAGCAATTGCTTATGTTAGCAGTTGACCTTTTCAGCTTGTCTATGTCTTAACTTGATATCCTTCTACGTGGGTGGAAATGAATTTGCCTGTTATGCACTGGGGGAGAAAACTCTGCATTCTCAGCCTTACTGCTGTTTGTCACAGCCTTTTCTTCCAACAACTACAGATGTTTTTCTGCCACTGAAACTTTGCATATTTAATATTACATAATTCAAAGATTATAAGCAACTTCATCTGTTTTTCTCTGTGATTGTCCAGCACCTCTTCACATTCTGTTTCACCAGCAAACCCTCTGCTTCTAACCAGACTCCTAGCACTCACTTCTGTTTTGGGTAGATTTTCTCCAGAATGATT